GTGATTTTTCGAATCACAGTAACATACTGATGCATGTTTGTACAAATTTGTAGGTGGATTATTAACTTCACTCAATCTTGTCTCTGACATCTAATTTAACTCAAAGTTCCATATTTTTAGTGTTTCTTTCCCACTGAGACTTCGTTAGAAACTAGACAATTAAAGGTGATGAGACTATTTGAACGAGTCAAGTGATCATGTAGCTCCCCAACCGACTCTAGGATCCATTGCTGTGGTATCATAATACATCTGATAGAAGCTAAGAACATCCCACCTGCTACGGTCGAAGTCGTCCCCACCGTATTTACGACAATAGGGGTGTGTGTGTGAACTTGACTAATACAGTATCTGAAGTTTTAGGTTCAGTAATTATGCACAGTCTAAGTGGTACTCGAGAGAAGCAAAGGCGAGAAAACCAGGCATGCTTTAGGCCAGGAGGAGGATGAATTATTCTAATATTCATGCTTCGACTGATCCTGGAGCATAGTCAAACGTACCGGCACTCAACAATAGCCATACTTCTTCACTTGAAGGCAGCATTTGACTTCATCACTTGAGAGGTGATACGGCAATGTTTGGCCGTAAAGTACCGAGAAAGTATACCGCTATAATCAAGACACTACTGGGACTCACGCATGTGTACATGCTTATGGAGAGTCATCATATAAAATATTAACAACCAGTGGTGTCCGACAGGGATGACCACTATCCCCATTTCTATTCAATTTCATCACACATGTACTAATGGAATTAACCCTAACTGACTTTAGTGACCCAGTAGTCGACTTGTTACCAGGGAACAGTCTTGTTCACATAAAGTATGCAGGTGACAGTTTCCTCCTAGGTGAAGACGCTGACAAAATGCAGAGTCTTCTGAACAACTTGAGCAGAAATCTTCGAATGTTTGGCGTGCTATTCGCTTCTGTCAAATGTAAGATGATGCTACAGGCCTGGACTGCATTGACTCCCAGCCTAAAGATAGACAGTGAAGTTGTAGAGCGTGTTGACTATTTCACCTTTATGGGAAGTTGCATCAGCCAACAGAAGTGGGTTGATCGCTGACGAAATCTCAGCAAGGATGCAGAAGGCTCATTTTGCCTATGTCAACTTACTCCATTTCTGGCATAAACATGATATCCGGTTGCCTATCGACCAAAGGACGTGTATGCTGCTCATCTGTTCGCTCCGTCTTCCTCTCTGATGGCTGTGAGCGAGACATGGCTATTGGGAGTGGGAGATATGAAAAGGTTAGCTATGTTCGATCATACGTTGGTGTCTGCATTCTATCTCCTGTGTTAGGTGGTATAGTAGGGTGAGTGATATTGAGGTTAGGCGTCGAGTACTAGGTGAAGAGGGGAATCAATCGACGAGGTTGTGAAGTTGCATCGACTGAGATGGTTAGGACATATGTTACGCATGCCTAGCCACCTCCTTCCTGGACGGGTAATGTTAGCTGACATAAGATCAGGTTAGAAAAGAGTTAGTGATGGTCAAACTAAAACATGGCGTCAGTCAATGAAATCCATAACAGTTAGTTTAACCCACGTAATAAGATGTAGACTTCCTGGTTGGGGTCCTCGGGACGGTAAACACCAATGGCTGGAGACAATTGGTGATATGGTTCAAGATCGTTCTCAGTGTCGCAGATGCTTTTACTCTTTGTGGTCTGTCATATCCATTATTCTTCCATGTGCCTATTCTGTTTCCCTCGTACTTTTGTCTATTATCTCTCTTTTGAACTTTTGTTTACTCTCTTCTCATGCTGTATGGAGTGTGGCAACTCAAACTGCTGCACTTCTTTGCAAAGTTCTATGCTGAAACTCAGTAAGTCAGGTAGGCAGTGGGCACTACTGTTTGTTGTCACCGTTGTTGAAAACAAAGTACGTTATTTTTCAGATGCAGGTTTTCCAAGAGAGCACTTTGGTTAGCATAATTTTAGTTCCGTTGTTTAGTCCGTTCATCGTTAGTCTTTTAGAGGTGGTAATGCGTTGCAGTGGACCTGTCATGTGCAAAATATCACTGATGTCAAGCTCAAATGCTTTTAACCTCAAATAAGTGAATTTTTATTCACAACATACCATCTAAAGCTTAATCGGTTTTCTGGGTTAGATGGTCATCACCCTTTCTAATGACTGCATCTAGTTTAAAATCAATGGACTTCTACTTCCTAACACCAACTATATAGTTGTTTTACAAAAAATATTTCCGTAGACTAAGTGAATGGATATCACCAGTTTTTATTTGAAAAATACTTCAAGAAAGTATTTTTTTTAAAGCATCTACAAGATTTCAGTATTACAAGTGGCTAGTCATATTGTCTTTCTTCGCAGGTGTAACTGCAGTAGTTATACTCTGAACTTTCCATACTAGATATTTTAATACTTTGGGATTGTATGGGCAGACTTGGAGCCAGGTGAAAACTCTAGCAGAGAACCGAACGCAATGGAGACGCATGGCTGAAGCCCTATGTTCCTCTAGGAACTAAAGGAAATAATAATAATAATAATTGGGATTGTACATTTGAACCTAATGTAAGCCCCGTGTTAGTGGAGACAGTGAAAACAGTTTCTGTCATATTTCAGCTTTATTAATGAACTTGTCGACTAATTCCCTTAGCCACATTGTATGCACAATTACTTGGCTGTAAATAAATACATGGTTGATATAATTTGTGTCTCATTATCTTTGTGATATAACGAAACTTTTGTATCATGACACAGCAGACAACTTTTGCGTATAGTAACTAGGTATGGTTGTATTATTACTTTGTTTTAATATTCCAAATTATTAGACTGACAATGATTTCTGTCTTTTCAAAATAAATTTCCAGGTGTATGAGCCGAAACACATTCACTCCATAATGCTATCTCAAACTGGGTGTAGTCTGCCTCAACCAGGACTCAATATTGCCTCTCCACTACTTAGTGGTTCATCTGGCTATGTTTGTCCTTTGAACTCTTCATCTCCTGATGTTCTAGAGAAAGACTATCAAATTGTTACTTATGAAGAACTTGAAAAGTTGCTACCGGAACCTAAACCAACAAGTCGTGTTGAATTGGGTTTGCTACCAAATGGGTGTGCGTATGCTCCTAAAACCGCCAGTCGAGAGAATTATTTGTTGTTTGCATCGAAGTATAGTTACATATTATATTTCACGTAAGTCCCCGATTTTATATTCTCAGAAAAACCTACATTTCGATTTTAACACAAGCATTTATACTTATTTTAAAGACGGGTTTCCATGTTGCAACTTTTCATTGATTGAACTATTAAAAAAGACCGACACATCTCAGTGACTCACACCAACATTTGGTAATAAGCTTTCTAATGCGAAAGTCGCTTGTATAAACTCGTGCATTGAGTAACTTAGGCACTGTTCTAAGGTGAATTCACTTTCACGAACTTTATAAGCGAAATACAATACCGTAAGTATTATGAAGATGAGTCCCTTACTCCTCACATTTCTCTGAAGGATTTCGCCTCGTTATCTCATAATGCTCCACTGACAGCCGCAAAGTTAGATGAGAAGTAGCATGTTGGTTGTGTCGCTTAGTGCCCTCTTTTATTCTGTCTTTTGTCTAAGGTCCCACTGCACTAATGGTATCAAAATTAAAACTATGTGGTGTCTAATCACTGGACAAGTCAATTAAATGTGAAAACACATTTTCACAAGTGAACATTGAGTTCATCAACTGCTTATTTTGATCTTTCATTTGACTATTCTACCCTACATGCCGACTGAGAGTCCTTACAACTGTCCCGACTCAAAGACTATACTGTTAATTGTATGGCGTTATCAATGCAACTTAATCATATACCATGTGGTGTAGAGGTTTCTGCTTATCGTTTGTCTACGTTAGCTAGATGAAGTATCCTCTGTCATTACTGTTCCCTTTTTCTTACTGAAATTAAACTTTGATCCACCAGTTCCGCATAAGTTGTTCACACGATGATTTGAAACTGTGACGTTTGTCATATGTTCATAATAACAGGATAAGTAGTCCTAAAAGTTTTTCATCATCTCTTTTGTATAAAATAATTTTGATTATCTCTGTATCACTTATTACTGCACATTTTTCTTATTTTAGACATCATTACTTTTCACGAGAAAACTTATGTCGTGACCAGACATTCTTGAACATGCTTGTCGATCGATTGATTTTGCCGATCGAGAAACTAATCAAAGCACCACGTTTAGCAGCACTGAATACCACTCATGAAGAAGTGGAGCGAGCACTACTTGGTAGTAAAATCGTCTGCGTTGAAGATATGAATGCAGGAATGCGCGGTGTTCGCCGAATCGATGGTTGTAGGTTTAAAATTAGTATATATATATATATATATATATATTATAGTTGTAACTGTGACCAAGGTATACACTTGATTCAAATGTTTTTCTTCCATCAGATTAAGTGTTTTAAATAGTAAATTGTCCACATTAGTCTGTGAATATAGTTCATAGAAATGAGAATATTAACTGAGTAGAGTTGGGTAAAAACAGAGTGGAAGCATGTAAATAATCTGAAAGGTTTTGCTTATATTTTTCAGTGTTGGTATTTGATAATGTAGGATAACCGAATAAAGCATAGTGAGGTTGAAGGACTAGGAAGAAAACAAAGCCCTCGCACTGTAGTGTCATCTGCACCAGGTTTTCCGAGCTGCCGTAACACTAAAAAGTATAATTTAATAACCCTTCATAGGTTTGTGTTCTAGTTTATCGACGTCACTTGTTTAATTTTACTGCCTTCTTGCTCAGGCCAGGGTAGTCTAGAAGTTCAAAACAAAGGTGAAGTAAAAAGAGGGTGGTTACTCAAACCAGTTTGCCACAGGGTTAGCTGATTTATGATTAAGGAACGTAGGAATTTAATTATAACTGGAATATAACTTCAATCCCATTACTTTTTTGTTTGCTTCTATGAACAGTGTAAGTTGACGGACTATTATTGTTTAAACGAAAAAACTAGTATTTGATGCCATCAAGGTGATACCTTGATATGATTATGAGCAATAAATTGTGCTCGAAACGTCATCAGTAAACATTACTGTATAACACTGTGACACTTTATCAAAACAAAATTTACCCATAATGGAATTACACTCTACCACAGTGCAAAGTTTTATTCTTATATTTGATGCCATCTCTAAAACTCAAGCGTAGTAAGGCAGATATGTCCATTTTCGAACATTTATTTATTCTAAGATAACTTTCTTCCATATCGTCGTAAAATTTAGCAACTTCGACTGGTGCACTTGTGTGTAAGAGTCAGGGTGTGCGGTCGTTAGTATACATTTTAAGGTAGCTACTCTTTCATATCGTGGTTCCTGCTACTTATAGAAATGGGTAATACGGTGTTATGTTTTCTGCAAAAGTAGAGTTTGAATCAATAGTAAAAGTTGATGAAAAATAGACAAGAGCTAAGGACCACTGAGGAAATCGAAGAAATGAAAAAAACAATGAAACAGTATATTTTGAATGTAGAATGCAGATATATGTGAACGAAGTAGACTGAATGCAAAGTATAGTGTATTGTTTCCAATGAAAATTTCGATCTGTTCAAATAAATATGCTACTTCCCACCACCAATCCATGCAGTGGACTGATTTATTCTGAACTATGTATGAAAATACAGGCTGCCTGGTTAGTTTTCTCGGGTTGACACAACTCGATGGTTGGGAACTTTATATTACTGGAAATCGTTCAAGGTGGCACTGATAAAATAACTTCTTGTCATTGTGCGCTTACTGAAATGCTTCATTGACCTACATCCAATCGTGTCGCTACGTTGCTGTCCTATTGTTTTATGCGTTTCCTCATTGTCATTTGACAACTGCGACTGATAAACCTATGTGCAAACTTCTACGTTGGTTCTTCATTCAGTATCTACAATATTATTACCTAATTTGACGTTGACATTTACCGTGTATTCAACCTAGATAGCTTGTTTATTTCTTAATTGTATATGAAGTGATTCTTGTTGAGTAAAGCACATAATTCAGTACACTTTATTGCTGTTTGTGCTTATAACTACACTTGTTTTAGTGCACCAAAAGAGTAGAATTCTACCACATAGTGTTAGACAATTACAGACGTTGGTTACCTATCAAACATTATACCTTAGCTTATCGTAGTCCTGTATCTCTGCACCGCTGAATGTTCTTTCATTATTTGTTTTATTCCATTTATTCCCTGATTATGACAAGAAACTTTATTCGTTTACAATTCGTATTTCTTTAATCCATTTTTTTCCTATTTTTCAGATCCGGGGTGGTCGGTAAATCCAGATGGTGTAACAAATTTGCAGCCTCTTCCCGATAACCCTCAAAATCTGACCTCTTTAATGCGCTCATTCACTCTCCATTCTCCTTACTCCGTTAGTCGAGAGATTTCAAGTAACTCACAGTCTGTGATAATGACGTCTGCTGGTTTTGAAAATTTCAGACAAGATAGTATCGAATTAAATAGAGAGGAAGTGAAGAGAAGTGCTTTGATTCACACTCCTGTAATCACAAATGTTTGCACGATGCCTGCATCGCAAAGCCCATTACCTGTCCCAATAATGTCTCCCATATGTGATCTTAATAGCTCAAGCGGTCAACTACTTGGCTATAGTAATGCAACAAGTTATTCAGTACCATACGATGGTGATATGTTGCAATGGGCATTGCAAAATTCTTTGAAACAGAATAACCCTTATTCCCCTGTCGCCCATGTTTTGGTTCCTCATCCTGTTAACCATCCGAGTGCCGTGCAATTCAACAAAAGCCAGTCTTTCGGATGTTATTTCCACCCTCATGCGATCCTTCCAACTTTCAACAGTACACAATCAGGTGACTTACGAAGTGTGGGGACATTGCCAATAAGGGGTCAACCACATCTGTCAAGTTTTTGCATACCTCAAACTCCAAACGTAACAGATTCTTACCGTGCTGCTTATCCAATACCTGAAACTAATGATACTAGTCAACCTTTTAACCAGGCTGTGGCAGTAGCTTTAGCATCCATGAGCGCTAATAGCAGAAATCATGTTAATGTGCACCAGCGGGCGCTGCACTCACATTTTTCGAATCAGTTAATTACTAATTCATCAAACATTGGTTCGATTGGAACCAATCAACAGCAACCAATGAGTCACCTTCATGCGTTAGCTACTATGTCTGCTGCGGCTCATCATCAAAGTGTTTCTCCTGCATGTATTCTTAATTCCGTAACACGAACTCCTTTTCGCATGTCCACTCCACTGCCGCTGCCTGTGTACTACGCCGCCTCACAAATACCTTTTCAAACTGTTATTCCACAGAACGCTTTCAATCACTTACACAGTACAGTTCACCCTATGCACAATTACATTTATCGGGCAGTAGATAAAACTGGAAGCTGTGAATCATCAGATATTTTAAAGTTAGACAGTAATTGTAGTCTACCTGTACCGAATTTAACTCAGCGTACGAACAAGTCTATGTGCCCCCTATTCTTGCTGCCAGCTTTGCAAATACAAAAAAATAAGTCACATGCACCAAGTTTGAACACCAGTGAGTTGCAGATACCTTCAGTAAGACGAGCCGCCAGTTCAGCAGGACTGACGTCTACTCATACCTCCTCTAAAGCAGTTAACGCACGTGGAAACATGTCAGGTGCAGGCACTCCCGCTTTTACTTCCTCCCTCTCTAAGACCAACTTCTCTGCAACAAAATTAACTGTTGGCGATACTACAGAGAATGTATTTGAAGTAACTAGAAATACCATATCAGATAGAAGACTCGTCTTGCCAGTCACCACATCATCCAATGAGAGTCCGTATGGTCTAGTTATCAGTAAAGACAATTCCGATAGAACTTGCAAGCAGGTTGACAACGGGACTTCACCTGGTTCGGTTCATGATTCTGAAGACTCAGTTAGCTCTGGAATAGGTGATATGACTGCCGCTACTGCAAACCAGAATGACAACCAGAACAATTCGCGTACGACAACGCGCATAGTTGCAAAATGTAAATACATGCGGGACAAGTCATCATCACAAATTAAAGGAAAAATGACAAACATGTGACTTGCTGAAATGAAAGTCATTGCAGCTCTATAAACTTGTCACAGCTTTTGAGTCATGTACGTAGTCATCTGATTTGAATAAATGCTTGCTGGACTTATTTGCACCAGGTGTGCTAGTAAGTGGATTCAAAAGCTAGAATATGCTGTCCTATACAGCTGAAACTCATTACTGTTCTGTGCGTATCGTTATGCTACATTGTCGGTTGTATTGTAGCTCATACTTATTGCACACGCTTTGTTACCACTCGGAAATTATTGATTCAAAATCTCAATGACAGTGCTGATAATGTTCGCGTCTGCAATATCGTGCTCTCTCAGCTGCCTTTTCATCATTCATTTAGAAATATTATTTAGTTATTTGGTTTTTTTTCTGATCTTATTTGTACATACAATTTCTTTTTACTAACTATAAACATTTACTTCTGCGTAAGCTTTTATTGTTTTGAAATGTATATTTCGTAATTTATTCATACATGAAAAAAATTCCCTACCTCATTACCACAGAAAGGTTGGTCTGGAATACTTCCAATCAAGCGCCTTAGTGATATGAACCTCGAAATGAAAACCACACCAACTCATTTAACTTATCCTTCTTTCGATCATAAACACACACTTGAGCGGCTTTAAAGTCTTAGTCTTTCCTCTTGGGGACGCACTTGCGTCTCCCAAACAAAAGTTCTTGTGATTCTTTCTTCCAACTAATAACTTTTTAGAATGATTTCTAGTATAAAATTCTGTACTAGGTACTATTTCTTCCACTTATTATAACGACATGCATTTCTTTGTTACTTTAGTATTTTGAAATGAAATCAGTCATTTAAATGCATTTCATAGATAAGCGAAAATTAAAACGCGCTATCAATTAAAACGTGTATTTGTCTCATCTTTTTGATATGGTGTAACATCCTCTCGTTTGATTTCTATGAGATGTACGTACACTGACCGGACTCACATTTTAGTATACAATGTCGGTATGGTTGCATAACCGGGAACTTAGACGTCATAGACTGTCTGAATGTGACCAATATGTACGATCATATAACGGAAATGATGGTATCTTCACATCCAGACTGGTGCCATTATGTCTTTCAAATCGAAATGATCCCCACATATGCGCCCATGGTACAGGTATTTGAACATGGCTATGATATTGGAAGACTGGACATTCTGGTGAGAGGATAGGTTGCTGTAACAGAAAAAAATAATCACTTTAAACCAAGAGCTAGGTCGTAAGACAATTAGTGCCCAACACGAGAAGGGCTTATTCTTCATTTTATTTTCTTGCAAATGAGAAAAAGTATTAACGTGAGTGTGCGGTATGTTTTCAGTTTAGATCTTCATAACATCTTATTTTAAACAGGAAGCATTAAAGCATCACTCATTTAGGGTGGATTACTTTTATTTAGAGTAGTAAAAAATATTTTCTGATCAGGCATGGGATTTCATTTCTCCTATTATGTATTTATTCATTTTCTGCGAAGATATGAAATGAGAACAAACACATGGAAATGACCATATGAGTTGTGACAAAAGATAATCGTTTAATAAAATATAGGAATGGAAGTGGCCAAATTTCTAGTCTGTGCATCATACGGCATGTTTTCGTTCGAAGAAAACGTTTGATACTGCTTGGCAATTGCGCTTATTTCAAAGAAACTATTCATATGTATTCTTCTAAAAACTTACCATTCCCACGACTCCTTTACCTCTGTTCGACTCCAGATTGCCAGTTATTGAGAACACCTTCCAAAAGCGTTCACGAAGTTGGACTCGTTCCATTGCTAGGTTTTCCAACCTGATTAAGTAGCGCCACTTGAAAAATACGAAAACAATTAGATACGATATTACTTTGTCTTTTAGTAAAATTGTTCGAAAATTGACACTGTAAGTTTGTGGCCAGTTGTTTCACAAAATTTGTACATTTAAAAAAGTCCTGGGCATATGGAAGGACAGTTTATTATTGCAGATTTGTCATCGATTCCGACGGTTTCCCACCACACACAATCAGCATTTACAAAGAAAAGTGTTCTGAAATCAAACTTACGTAGCGTATATCATTTTCTTTATTATTCTGCAAAGGAAATAAAATAGGCCTATTAGTATGTGAATTGTCGGTCAAATTTTGCTTAAGAAAGTCGACATGCACTCACCCCTGTTATTCGGCGACCCATGTAGAAGGGTAACACTGTTATCCGAATATTTTCCGTAACTTCGCGATGCACTGATGTGACTTCTAAACTTCGCTTACGAGCTTCGATCCAGCGTCTCAGATGGTCCGTCGGCATAAATGGGGGGTCTTAAGGAAAGAAAATATCGTATATTTTAACGCAGCACAAATACGAAATTTAAAAGATACAACAGGACGAAGTTATTGGTTCAGCCATAAGGAAGACGTGTGGTGACCCCTGCGTGTCTCCTACCGTTGCCCTGTAGCCAGACCTTTTAAACTGTTATGAGATCCGAAGGCGAGTGACTGAGGACGGTCGTAACCAGTAGTAAGTTAGTCAAAGAAGGTACTGTTTATTGTTAAGGAATATATGAAACAAACCAGAGTTTATCACTTCAATATATATATATATATATATATATATATGGGCGAGGAAACCTGTGATAAACGCAATTGGATAAAAGGGATATAAGAGTAAAGTTTAGTCAATGTTGTACAAGATAACTACATGACAGTATTTAATTCGAAAAGATGGTGACGCAGTATTATTTAATTACTGATGACGTTATGAGAAAAACTTACTGCTGATAGTCACATCAAGATGCTTTGATAACTTCCAGATTTTTTTAGGTAGTTCTAATACTTCTTATTCTTGGGCGATGTTATTTTCTATATCTTTAGTATTCGTGAACCTCCTGCACGCTTCGGATGTAGACCCAGTTAACTATGTTCCAGTGATCAACAATTCCCGCCAGCTAACTACATTGCTTTTTAGAACTGTAGCTCTGCCACATCCCAGTATGTGTTAGTGCAAGTGATGCGATTGCTGTGTTTCCTAATTTGGTCATCCTTTTGCAGTCAGTCATCGTGCACGCATTCTTATGTTCTGATCAACCCAACTGACTCCCATTCATCTGCTGGATGCATCTGTGTAGTCGATTTTATAGTCAGTGCAGGATATCCTTTTTGATAAGGTTACTTTGTCTAGTTAAACCAACATGATCCTTTAGTTTGCAGAGTTTGTCTATGCGTAAGTTTGGGTCTGAATGAAACCCTAATTCCAGATGTACGAGTAACCGTAAGTAGGGTTTCAGATGCTTTTTCCTCATATAGCAACACTATAGATACCTTAAAATGCTTATGTTCAACAGATCCACTACTACTTTATTGTGAACTTAAATGATGAGACCCTGAAGAACTTCCTATAAGATTGAAATTTAAGTGCATCCATATTTTCTAGATATAGAGAGAATGTGTACGATGACTGAGGAGCATATGTCCTACAAGCGGAGGTTGTATGATAGTGTTGCCCATAGTATTATACTTGCATTTGAACGTATTTCAGTGGCAGTTACCTTTCTTGATACAGAGCAGCTTACGAGAGTACGAATGTTATCTTATTACAATAAACGCATGGGTGTTCAGGGGTAGAATGCTGGTCAGTCACGCACTTGGTCATGGTTCGATTCTCAGTCGACGCACCGCAAAGTTCCATTTAGCTGGTTGTAAGCCGAGAAAAGATGAAAGGTTGGACTTTAAGCTAGCAACCTCATCCTGTAAGAACACAAGCGTTACTGAGACCTCACAGTTTAAAGCCCTATATTCCACTCGAAACGCAATGAAATAAGAAGAAACTTTGACGCATCCTGAGTCGGTGATGACAATATCAAGCAAGTTTTAGTTACACACAGTCGTTGATTGATTAGATTCTTATCTTTGGAGATGTTAAAAAAAAAGCTGGAGTTCTAGTGAGAAATCTTCACCAGCGAGGTCCATACAGTCAAGTGTGAGGATGGGTTTCCCACCAGGAGGAGGGTGTACTGACCATATCTTCGCCCTCCGACAGATTCTGGAACATAGGCATACTTACCAGCGTCCAACAATCGTTATACTTCTCGACCTAAAGGTGGCATTCGATTCTGTCGACCGAGAGGTGCTCCGGCGATGTTTGGCTGTGAAAGGAATGCCGAGAAAATGCATTGCACTGATCAAGGCACTCTACTCGAACTCATGCAGCCAGGTGAGGGTTTACGTCGAGTTGTCATTTGAACTGGTGACAACCAGTGGTGTCCGACAGGGATGACCACTATCCCCATTTCTATTCAATTTCATCACACATGTACTAATGGAATTAACCCTAACTGACTTTAGTGACCCAGTAGTCGACTTGTTACCAGGGAACAGTCTTGTTCACATAAAGTATGCAGGTGACAGTTTCCTCCTAGGTGAAGACGCTGACAAAATGCAGAGTCTTCTGAACAACTTGAGCAGAAATCTTCGAATGTTTGGCGTGCTATTCGCTTCTGTCAAATGTAAGATGATGCTACAGGCCTGGACTGCATTGACTCCCAGCCTAAAGATAGACAGTGAAGTTGTAGAGCGTGTTGACTATTTCACCTTTATGGGAAGTTGCATCAGCCAACAGAAGTGGGTTGATCGCTGACGAAATCTCAGCAAGGATGCAGAAGGCTCATTTTGCCTATGTCAACTTACTCCATTTCTGGCATAAACATGATATCCGGTTGCCTATCGACCAAAGGACGTGTATACTGCTCATCTGTTCGCTCCGTCTTCCTCTCTGATGGCTGTGAGCGAGACATGGCTATTGGGAGTGGGAGATATGAAAAGGTTAGCTATGTTCGATCATACGTTGGTGTCTGCATTCTATCTCCTGTGTTAGGTGGTATAGTAGGGTGAGTGATATTGAGGTTAGGCGTCGAGTACTAGGTGAAGAGGGGAATCAATCGACGAGGTTGTGAAGTTGCATCGACTGAGATGGTTAGGACATATGTTACGCATGCCTAGCCACCTCCTTCCTGGACGGGTAATGTTAGCTGACATAAGATCAGGTTAGAAAAGAGTTAGTGATGGTCAAACTAAAACATGGCGTCAGTCAATGAAATCCATAACAGTTAGTTTAACCCACGTAATAAGATGTAGACTTCCCGGTTGGGGTCCTGGGGACGGTAAACACCAATGGCTAGGGACAGTTGGTGATATGGCTCCAAATCGTTCTCAATGGCGCAGATGCATTCACTCCTTGTGACATAATACCCAATACAACTATATTGTTCTTCGATATTCCTATTCTTTTGGCCTCATATCTCTCTTTAATGTCTCTGTTTTGCGTTTCTTTTTACTTCCTTGTTCTTTTCTGGCTTTGTAAGCTGAGTGAAGTGTGGCGACTCGAACTGCAGCACATCGGTGCAAAGTTCTATCTTGAAAGCAGTCGGTCAGATGGGTTTCACATCGACCGGAAGGTGCTGGGTTCCAGTCCCAGTGGGTGCGTACTGCAGATGACTCCTAAACTAGGATGAAACGGCTGTCCAGTACTCCCTGGTCTTCAATGGTTCTCTAACTGGTATCAGTTTACGGTCAAGATCGAAAAACATATATTACAGTTTGCCATATTTCTCAGACTGAGGATGGCGCTCGACCCTCTCGACATTTATGGGCTATGACAGTATCCTGCCCTGCTAAGACACATGGACGGGCTTTTAGGCATACCAAAGTACTTCAGTGGAACTCACGGATTCACAAAGAATTGCCATGCTAAAACTAGTAGTGCAAAGCATATGCCAGTCGTTCATTTTTAATGCAGTTTTACTGTTACATGGGGCTTTATCTGACTTTAGTTTCTCGAGAGTTAGGTCTCTTGCCAACGAGGGTTTGTTAAGTTAAGGTGTGTAAACAATCTAGTCCTTCCAGACGAAGATGCTGGTGAAATACGACCCTCTGAATACTGTAGGCCGAAATTTGTGTACTAAAATATTAGATGATGTCGTAACGCTAATAAGTACTATCCCGTAGTTTATGGTTATGAAATGCAATGTGCACGTGAACTGATCGCTGGACCTATTTTAGAAAAATATACGAGTGGTTTGTTGGCAAAATCACAGAAGGCAACCAAAAGCTGGCTAAATTGCGTCCTGATATTGTTTTACGTATTGAGAGGCGTGTGCTTTATAACAGTTATCTCCACCAGGGTTAGCAAGTGAGACATGACCAATGAAAGACATCTGGGACTACTGTACTTAAAATTTCAGTATTTATTAAGTTTAGTTTTGGCTTTCCTTGAAATCACAAGATGCTTTGATAGACACTAAAACAAACATCAAAATGTACAAATTTTAATTAATTATCTTCATATGTTAATTAGTAACCACGATTTTATTTTATTAAATATCACCATTTAAGGAAACTAGCACTAACTTATTCAGTCTGACTAATAAGTGAAGTGTGTAAACATGGCTGAAAATTGATATTTAAATACTTTATCCAGCTGTGATAACAACTAAATAGGAAATAGCCTATTCATTTTATCTGACTTGTCACAGTTATTGGTATTTTATGTTCATCAACAAAGCGTCCACAGGAAGTGTCCATATTGTATTGGCTTTACTGATACTCAATAATAAATCTTGCTTATACAACACCTTTAAACGCCTTTCCAGTAGAATGTGTTAAAAATTGAAAGCCGAATGCCAAACTCCACGATATATAAGATAGGTGTTTTATTTAACTTTTAAATAGAATATTGAAAGGAGCACGACATTAGAACCATAGGTTATATTTATTTATTTAACATACTTGTTACAGTATGGACACCAAGACATACACCACTTAAATTATTAAAGCAGTATAAGGACAACAGGATGAAAACAAGTACGTATACTTATCAAGAGTATTCAAAGGAAAGTTAAATACCACATTACATACCGAAACGAAAGGAAATAGCAAAATGTTAGGCACTGACTTCGATTCTGAACCATACCTGACAAAATCTTAAGCCAATGAGTTGTATGCAAATGCAAGTAGTTGGTAATACCCAGCGGGTGCCACATGTGTTACATAGGTAATTTTCAAAGACTTGCACAACCGTCGCTTCTTTCCATACTGATGGAAAACACTCAATCTTCCACACTTCTCGAAACGATATAGTTCGCAGACTGGTCTCAGTTTCATCTTTAAAACAGCAATAAGTTATCTAGGAAGTGTGCACTAGGGCATATGAGCAAATGCAGTTTCTTTCAATCCTGCGCTCATCTAGGTGAATCTGTGTTAACCAACTACTACAATTAGAATGACTGGACACTGGCACTGTAGACCAACTAAACTAGCTTTTAAAATGCTCTTTTTAGTGTCCTAGGCATCTTCGTGGGTTGTTGTTTGGCGTGTAATCTGCCTAACAGACTGTTTCTTAGATGTATAGCTTCTTTCTTCCACTGGTTTGAATGAAATGTTTCCAAACACTACCAAATGTAGCTGGTTCGTCCCTCACTTATGCACCTTCTTCACATCCTCCTTCTCATTTTCCACATAAGTTTATCTGTATGAGTCTTACATATGTAACAGTATTCGCTTTGCATTGGATACGGTATCATAAAAGCAGGATGCGAATTTACTCACTATTTCTACCTTTCTTGTGATTCCAAACAGTGTTTGTCCATACTTCCTGAAGCGGTCGGCTAGTCATGAATCTAGATCTGATCGACATTTGACTGCAGTAGTCAGTCCAAACGAATAGCTCACGCCGGTTTATTTAGCATGTTTACGATTACTAAAACGCACAAGAACTTGTTACATACGACAGAAGCAAAGACAGTCATGTATGCACCCATGTTATCAGTGGATGATAACAATGTGGCTAATTTGAAACTCACACCTGAGTGGCACACAGAAGACACCCGGTACCCTACGGATAACACTGCTGGAAAATGGTGCTGCTTAAAAATAGGTTATGGACTGCGCAGAGCTGAAGCAGATAAACTCCAGTTACATATTCCCCATTGAGCACTGATACTATTTTCCTGTAAGCCTAGACGACCGATTTGTGCGTGCACATCCTCAACTAATATCTGTCGATCAATCTTGCTTGAAGTCAATGCTAATGGTAAAATTTATCTTTAATTACATCCTGATAGCATTTTGTGTGTGTATAGGCAGAGATGAAGCCACTGCTTTACTGGTCGTTCGCTTATTACTCTAGTACCGCCTATTTCAACAGCGAATAAGATTGGTAATGAAGATCCAGTCAACTAACTTAACTTCGGCTCAGTGGCCTAGCACGGCAAAGACACAAGCTAAACTGAATGCCATTGCTGCAGTGCAGCCTGATAGATATACGTAAGATGTAGCTTTTCAGCCGACAAATGGAGAATTTACTTGAAAAACCTTACTAAGACCTTACGTGCATATTTAGAAGGTACCGAATTTATCAACAGTGAGGTCTTTCAGAAATCCGTCAGTTTGTGAAGGGTGTAGATGGCAGAAGTGGACACGATACGTGGTGTCACAACAATCACGTTAACTATTCCACTAGAAACAAGCTTCTTGAAAGTAACTTATCGAATGCTAAAATTTCGCACAATAACAAATAGCAGACGAAAACAGAGCAACTAGCAAACGTAAAGTTAGTTGAAAAAATTAGACATTACTACTCAGATGTAAGAAATAACGTGACGATAATGGATTAAATAATATATGATTCATCGAGTTACGGGAAAGCAAAGATGTGCCTTTTATTGAATTATCGTTCTATATTTTCTGTAAGGACGTAGACACTTCCCGGCCACTAAGACCAAAGCAGATGGTTATCTCAAGGAATCGCTTCCTGAGCTTTAGACTAATCGGATCAAGTTCAGGAGGTGCATTTTTATGATTACCAGTGACTTAGACAGTTTTATGCACCATTCGTACAATTAAGATTTCGGATTTCGTCTGCACAATAGATTTGGAATAAGCGTCTTACAACTCTCTTAAGTGAACTCCCCATATTCAGTAGTCATGCACGCTTGGCTGCGTGGTAGAATTACGAGTGGAAAAAACGGAGTCAACATCACGCTCAACCGCCACAGGTGATTTATAGTAGAGCCACAGTCATAAGTCACAAAAAACTGTCGAAGTTACAATATATCACTTAAAAAGATATCAAAAAAATTACCTCTGTCTGGAGCAGAAATTAGGAATTCACTCATGTATTCATTTCGAATCGGCAAAGCGTCTTGAGGAACATATGGAATAATGTCATCGTGAAAAACATAATCCATTTCTGAAAGTGAGTGTTTTTAATTTGTACAAACCTGAAACTATATAAATGGCGTTAAAAGCCCGTTTATCATCTGGCAGGAAGGTAATCCCAGGTTTAAGAGCACAATTCTAGAAACCTAAGTTTAGTGCAAAATCCATCGTACACATATTTCAATATCCCTCTGATCAGTTAAGACTTGATATACATTCACTTTGGACTCATCTTTCTTCTTGAATTCTGGAAATTTCTGTTCTCTAATTAAGCTGAAATACGACAAACATAAAAACTTACACTGCTTCTATGAACTGCAGGTTTCGATCAAACAATCTTCCCTTCCAACACTGCAGTATGATGCCACGATAACCGAAATGTTTGTGTAAAAACATTTGACCAGGTACGTACGACTCCGATGCATCTTGAAGGTGACCGATCAATTCTAGACTGTAATGAAACATGAAAAAATCAAAGAGAATTTACTTTGTTGGACGACTGTGTGATAGAAGGTTTCTTTTACAAAGGAGTTGTGGTGCACGAAGACTTGACGTCGGTAAAATGCAAAGACTCACTCTATGCATAGAAAAGGTAGCAAACATTGAGTGTAACCGTTCTGATGAGTACTTATGTCGACCAAGCCCGATAATTACTAGACATACACTGAGGTGATTTGTACTGACGTTACTATATTTTTTATAATCTTGATAAGAGCAGTCTAAATAATAAAAGAATATGCAAGAATCCGTTACGACAATTCTAAATTACCAAATGTAAAAGTTATATTAATTTCGCAATAAAAAGGATCACATTTAGTTAACAAAATCGACTGATATTTACTGATTACATATAAGTTGATATATGTGCGAACTACAGGCATTTGCTGTCACACGGCTACGCATACAATACCCGAGTGCAGTTATTTATTTAACCGCACTTGACCGACTAGGTGAGTCCACAAAATTCACCCTACGGGTATCAGAGGATTCTATGGCTACTGCTCTTGGAATTAGTAGCGTATCGATTGTACTGAAATCGAAATAATAAAACCAGCTGTCAGGTTGGATCTCGTTGGACAATCGTTATCAGTTTGGATAAATTTGTAAGGATTAGAAAATGTATTGATACCTGCAGACGCTTATAAGCAACCATAAACTAGTTTGATAGCCTATCAACAAGAATTAAAATTACATAAATGTTGATGATTTTTTAGACAACAACCAATCAGATTTCAGCGCCCACTAATTGGCCAATATGTTTCCACAATGCTATTTCATTTATTACAGTGATTTAAATATCCCTAAAATATAACCAGAACAAGACGATTCTTGAACGAACAAGTGTTTTCAACAACTTATGGCTCTACAGTTTAAAATCCATGAATATTTGATTACCCATAACCAGTAAAAGCAAATGCAAATTATGACAGAAATTGTATTGTTGTACAAGTATAAGATGGAATAATAGTCTGTCAGCTAGCATCGTTCATTGAATGCGCTTTAATTATCTCTCACTCGACCTGTTGGGATACACGCTCCAAAGTTACTGTATAATGGCCACTACCTTTACTGTTGAGCGACCAGGCTGGAGAATTATGAGTGACAGAAACAAAACATGGCACCAATCTAAAAAAGTTTCAACTTGTTTGGGTCTCTTAATGCAATTTACATAATACATGCACGAGATTTTCGGGATGCTTAGAATCAGCAGTTAAAGACCATTGGTGACAGTTTAAAATCATTCACAATGACGCAGATATATTCACTCCTCCTGATTATTCAGATTATGAAATTTGGTTTTAGTCTACATCAAATTATCTTTCCTTCTGCGCATTACTGATCAGTGTTATTACTACGTTTCGTTTTTGTATTTCCTATACTTCTGCAGTGCATTAACCGAAATCATTACATGAATAGGACAGGTAATAAAATAATAAAATTGATAACTGAACTATGGAAGTAACTGTGACTTATATGACAGTATGAAATAACGCTGTTATACACTGTGCATTCAAAGAAATAATACTTGCACTGAAACACAAACTAGTGTTGGGATACATACAAGTTTCTTACAGGAAATGTTCCAGGTATTTAGAATTGAATAACTGAGAAGCACCAGAGATTATTTTCACTCTGTGGCCAGGATGTCTTTCCTCAATAATGTATGTAAGCAGAGATTATGGAGTCCAGTACCAGGCACATAGGTATATGAATACAAACATTTACCTCTTCAGTTCACTTCTGTATTAGTCTTTACCGTTCGCTTGGATAACTTTTAGCTAAGGTAGATGTCTTTCTTGATCCTTCCAGTACCACTCAGATCGTTTACTTTAGTATTCCAGCATTTATTTTATAGTTCACCCCTAACATGGACAATCTTTTAATCACTTCACTGAAGTTTTCTGGAAGTCATTGGTTTGTAGCCTACACCGAGACATATTGTAGTGTAAATTTCACGTGTCTGTTTACACTAACAAGCTTACATTACTGCACAACACGGCTTAAATTGTCCCAAAATGACAGCGCGAAATAAGTGCCGACAGAACCAACGACTGTATAACAATGCAAAATGAGTATAAAAGGTAATTGGAAACTTTCAGTAGTGAATATTCAGAACGTTTCGTCGAAGAAAAAGAGGTAAGCAGTTGGGCACTAACGGGCGAAAAATGGTTAAATAATGATTGAAATCTAGCAGATATAGGGACAGTGATAAGTGATAACATAATGGGCAAATCCTGATTAAATGGTGGTCAAAATGGAGAAATAAGGCTTAAATAATAGTTGAAACGGGGTGTCAGTGAATAAGTGATGGAAAATTCTGGTTACATTTTGGTAAAATGTTGCTTAAATCATAAAAAAAGTGTTTCGACGGTGGTCACAATTGGATACTGGTCAAATGTGAGTCAAGAGAGGGAAAAACTATGGCACCCATTTTTTATTACTACTGCACATGCCCATTTTTGCCACTTTCGTCCAACTGGGTAACCACCACTTTGTCGGCTTCTATCGTTAACATGATTACCAGTATGCTTTGTTTGCACATGCAAGTTATGACGTGAATAAAGTTAACACATGGACTATCATCACAAGTTATAAAAAGATCTGACGTTTACAACGGTATTTATCACAACATCATAAAGGCCTGAAACCCCTAAATGTCCTTGAGAATGGAAACATGTGCGGAAAACAGAGTATGTCCAATATTAAATTCAACTAAAATCCTAGATACGGTTATTCGCACTTAGTTGCTACCACCCCACTGATCAATGAAGATGTCAAAAGATAAGGAGTGTAAGGATACTGATGACTGACCTATGACGAAAACGATAACGACGACGACCATTTATCAGACAAAATAATTGGCATTTATGATTTTCTAAACCTCAGGAGTTTATACTATAAACAAACATATATGAATATTTGCCGAGAACAGAGGTTAAAAGATGATGAAATTTTGCAATGGTAATTTAACCCACAAGGTGAGTCCTGCAACCACCAATGTTGTATAATATTTTTAGCCCTTTCCTGAGTGCTCTTCATCCATGAAACACGGTCTCATTGTCTGTATCTCATGTTCCAAACGAAGTCCGATAAAGGGTAGATGCAATATGCAGAATATATGAGCATCAGAATTTGTATAGGACCATTTTTTAACTTAAAAACCCTTTTACGCCTACTGATCCAATGTAATCGCATATTTCGAGACCATTCCTGAATTTTCATTTCGGTGTCTGCAAACTGCAATGAAGCCATTTGTTGGTTACCAAGTGTGTTTTTTTGGGCAACATGCACATTTAGGTCAGGTTTTGTGGTTCGGACGAACGATAACCTCTTCTCAGTCTTTTGATACACGAACTGTTTCCTTCGTTTATAACAACACGGAAAATGGTTGTCATGTTCTCAGCGACTGCGGATAATATTCAGGGATGTAGTTCATCGGAACCACTAAGTCCGCTAGGAGTGGGCTTTAGAAATAATCTTAGAATGATTTGCTTCTGGAAAGCTTATTTTGAGATCACAATCTTTATTGAATAATTAGACGAATTACGTTGACAGAGCTACAGCTAATTGCCTAATGAAAGTCAGCTAAACGTATCAGAAATTGACCAGCTAGAAAGTTGGAAATAGAATCACTTTTTTGATTGTTTTCTCCTAATACACAAAACGTTTATCGAGGCTGATAAGAATCCATAACGAGCTTGAATTCATTTCCCTCACAGACTGTTAAATCAAGGAGTTCAGTGATTCCCCGTTTTACTATATTGTAGTCCAAAATTGAGTGGCCTACTGAAAACAAAACAGAAACGTAATCTCTTATGTGCCAGTAGCGTGTCATAAACAGCATATTTATTCACAAAGAACGAATTATTTTTTTATTAAGATCCCTTCATTTATTGAATTCAACTGTAACCGTTCTAGGTAATTTCTGAAATTTTCTATGCGCCACTGGTGGACGGGTTACCGCCAGCTGACCATATAGATCACAAACACCCATGTTTAAGTGATAGTTGGTTAGGATGTTACACTGTGTTCGAGAAGTTTACTTCAGACACTGAGTATGTTAGCACCAACTAACTTCAGGCATTTTAAGACGTATGCCATGCCCACACAAATCTTGTGAGCGTTCCTTTCCATAACCTGAGTAATAGAAAATCTATAATTATCGGATCACTTTCCTAGTCATGGAGTTCAGCTTCCAATTCAGCCAGTGTTTACTTCTTCATAATTCCGTCTATTACAGGACGCCTAGTTCTGAAAGCTATACTCATTCAAATATATTTGTGTATGTTGACTATCGACTGATCTTGCTGATCAGATGAGCCAAGTAATTACTTTAGGAGTCGGAGTTGCTTATATGCTCTGTCAGTGGCTCTTTTCTAGATCCCATTCATTTTCTATGTGGTCACACGATAGAAGTTAGCTGGTGCCATTCTCTGAATAAAACCACTAAGTCTAAATCGTGGGAATGCTTTTGAATAACTGATTTCCTGCAGTTTACACATATTTACAAGACAATCTATTGCCTACTTCTCTCATGCCGGGGTATTAACACCTCTGTCTTCATCATTAGGCCTAGTATCCAGTCTTATTTCGACTCCAGTTTCGCCATGCATTTGCCCTTGTCTAGGATGTCGCGATATCGCATAGGTGGGTTTCGGTTGTGGATTCTCTTCGTCAGTACCAAGTTTTGAATGATGAGAGCTGTAGACTAATGATTTTGAGAAGTTATTTGCATTGAAAATCAATAATAGTAACACTTACAAATAATATCTTGTATCCTTATTTTTGTGAACCAATTTATTGCACATTTCAGTGTACACGTTTTCTGGCATTTCCATACACCAGAATAATTGGGAAATGATAAGAGATCTCCTCAGAAGGTGGAGAAATATTTTTTGAAAATCAGGGACTTGCATGAAACTTATTTTCATTTATTTTGCCTTTCCGGGCGGTGTATCAATGATTTCCTTGATGGTCACAACCTAAGGGTCACTTTCTGCCAGTTGGGAGGTTATAGTTTACCACTACTAACATCATACTCGTGTTTTAAGTATTATTGTGCTTGCTAACTTGGGGGGTCGTACCTCAACGGCTGCCCAACCTCAACTGTGAATTCGTCACACCAGTTGTGCAATAACACCAAAATCCTAATGCTTGCAAACTTTTTTATGATCGTCGAAGATATTACCGTTTACAACTCGATGTGCCTTTTGGTCTACTGATTACAGTGGTCTGTGGACATTACGCCTTCTGATAACGAAGTGCGTGCAGTTTTCCAACTAAGGTTGCATGCAAGATAGTTGTCATCACTTTAAACTCACTCGTATATTTATTCACTCGCTTCAGAGGGTTAACTACACATCGCAGGGCTTGGTTACATAACATAAACTACTGGTAACCGTGGGTTTGTTTCGTCAGGAGTAATAAGTTGAGATATCAGAATCGGACGTCCTATTCTTGACCTCTTCAGCTATCGTTTTCAATCAGAGATCCATTGGTTAGAATTCTGTGGATTTCTGAGAGTACCTGTCAGTATGTATTGGATTGCACTTGAAATTAGTTGAAAGCAGAAAACTGAAAATGTCGTTCGTATATGTGACGGCATCTACTCTGGGAAAGAAGAAAATTACCTAGCGTGGTACTGGCGTACCAAGAAATTAAGACTGTGAAAAAACGCAAAAGTTGACCACTTACAAACAAAAAGATAGTATTTCCCCGTAAAATACATTAGAGCTAAACAAACATTTGTTAGAAGGACGGAATTAACAGTCCCTCAAAGATCTTCACAGCGCATACCTTCTTACATGTGTCATCACATAAGGGTAGGGAAAGATCATCATTCCCTGAAATCTGAAGATAAAAAGAACTTTCTTCTCTAAACATTTTAGCTTCTATATGACTTTTTGAATGAAAATAAACAATGTAGATATTTGACCACTTACAATGACAAACGATATGCAAACATTACTGGTCCCATATCCCATAACTACCTCGTGAATTACCCTTTGACTTACCTCAGGTAGAACCTTGAAATACAGTGGTGAAATAAATCTTTATACCAATGAAAATGTATTAATTTATAAAACTTCACGATTGTGATTTATAATATAACTGATCGTGACTGAAAAAATGTATGCATTTCTTGTAAACAACCATTCATAAGAAAAAATAAACTATTATAATTAGTCTGTATTGAGTATAATTCACTTCTCGTGTTACTTACGATGCGAATGCTGATAATATTATACAGACACATCACTTATTTTGAATTAATACCCAATTTGGATATAAATCAAGAATAAGACTCGATCCGAACACACCAAAGTTAGATGGGGGAAATGAATTCAAGATTTATTTATTTTCTCAAGTATCTGTAATCCATAAATAAATATTTTTTATCAAATTACAATGTACAACGAATATGAACATATACGTTCGCCTCCACATACTTTTTCTCTGCCCTCTGGTACATTTCTGTTGTATTTACTTTGTAGTACAAGTTGCATTGATCTACATTCCGACTGAAGCTGAGAAACAATTGAAGTCACTTACTCATATATTATCCTTCAAGGTTTGGCTAGTAATGGCTCAGCATCCTTGATGAAATCCACTGTCACCATAACAAGACGCTGTACAGCATCTTATACAAGCACTGTCAACGATCTAAAATGGTTTTTATATAGCTTTCTACGTGTTTATCAACTTACTCGTACGGAACATACATGCTGTGACAAATGGCGGGCTATGGGTGACTTGAGTGCAGTAAAACAAATCTGCTTGGCAATGACCAATATTAATTTGCATTCAGTTGAATTCACATCTGGTATTACTTGCAACAAAAATGATGTCAAAATCATAAAATAAATCACTCATTTTAAATTAATACCCAATTTGAACATAAAACAAGATACGATACCGCACACAACAAAGTTATATGGAGGAATTGACTCCAAGCATTATTTTTTCCCAAATATTTGTAATTTATTCGACACATACTTGGTTTTTTTGTTAATGCGAAGACAAAATTTCTGTATTTCTTTATGTGCTTCATTGAACGACTAACTATCAGAATGCGCTCACTAACTGATGTCAGAGAGGACAGCAACCATGTAATTTCACTATAAATCAAATTCATGTGATTTAAATAATACTTATCCATGCCTGTACAACTGGTGTGTCCTACATTGATAGGAAATATATATTATATATCATCCAACCAATACTTGGGTTTTGTTAATGAGAAGTCAATATTTCTATATTTCTTGATGTAGTTCATTGAATGACTAATTAGCAGATTGTTCCTACAAACTAAAGGCAAAAAGACAGCGACCATGTAATTTCACCATAAACCAAATTTATGTAATTGACGATGACTGTATACTGGCGTCTCTCATGTACAAAAATGGCAATATACTATTATTAATAAAGTTTGTGCACATAGAAATACCTTTGTATCACACGAAACGTGGTGACAGAAATACATAACCATGCGCTAAACATCGTTTTATTATGATGCAATGTATATTCCGGGAACCAACGAAGAGTGAATACTTAGGTTTCCACGAGTTGTTTACGCACACAGCGTTGCAAACATCAGTACAATCACGTAAGAGAATTGATAGAAAACATTCAGAAGTCCCAAACGTATCATGCGATGATTACAAGTATACTGAGATGGAAGC